TGCATTTTTTGTCTGATGTGATGTGCTGCAATAAAACGTAATGCAACGTAATGTGATGCAATGTAATGTAATGTAATGTACTGTGCTGTCATGTAACGTATGTCTGGAAAGTAATGCGGTGTAATGGAATGGAGTGGGATGGAACGGAATGGAATGTGATGTCTGCATGTGTGTGTGTGCATGCATGCATGCAATTATGTATGTATGCATACATGCATGTATGCATGTATGCATGTATGTGTGTATGTGTGTTTGCATGTGTGTGTGTGTGTTTGTATGTGCGTATGTACGTACGCACGCACGTATGCAAGCCGCCAAGACAGGTTGCGCTAAGCTTTGAATTGCCTCTCCAAACGAGGCCTCACATCGCCCGCATCTTGCTCCTACATGCGACTTCCAGCGCAACAAATACTGCGACGCAGCCGTTGCATCTCAAGATGCGCGCCGTTGCCGCGCGCGACTCTCTCTTGCCCCCGGATATAGTTTTCTCTGGTTCCTTTGAGCGTTCCGTTTGCTAGCGGCATGTTACCTGCACGCTCATCCCCGGCCGGCTCATTTCGCGCATTCTGGATCGCTTTTTGCGACTTTCTTTTAGACCTGCCTCCGCTTGCGTTGGCCTGATCACGCAGCCCTCTTCTGGGCTGGAGCACCTGTCTGTGGGCCTGCTCTCGGCCTGCTGTAGGACCAACGTAGAATTTTGTCGAGTCTACTGAAGGCCTACGCTTCGGCCTTGGCAAAGGCCTACCAACGCCCTGACCTGGAGCCTACCCAAGGCCTACACACCTATCTGTTTACGCCCTCTCATGGGCCTACCAACCCCCTTGCCTGGACCCTACAACTGGCCTATGCACAGCTTTTTTCTCGGGAGATCTATGCCATTCTATTTTTCGCGCATGCGACTGGAGTCTCGCTTGCAACAGTATCAATCTTGGTTACACAAGCCCTCCGGGCCAGAGCCGGAGAAGGAGCCGGAGACGGGCCGGAGACGGGCCGGAGCCGGGCCGGAGCCGGAGATGGAGCCGGGCCGGAGCCGGAGCCGGAGAAGGAGCCGGAGACGGGCCGGAGCCGGGCCGGAGCCGGGCCGGAGCCGGAGATGGGCCGGAGCCGGGCCGGAGCCGGAGAGCCGGAGACGAAAAAAAGCTATAGTGCAATCCAGTGGTAAAGCACTTTCAAGTGTTCGAAGAACTTGAATGTTGTTTGGGTTTGGCCAAGAATGACAATTCTCAAGAAAGTGTTCTATGTAGTCTTCATCTTGAGTCTTCCATCCAGTGGTAAAAGACGTTCAAATGCTTAGCGATCCGGTGGAAACACTTTCAAGCTATGATATATTTAGACAACCTTTCAAGTACTGTTGGTGAGCGGAATGCTTCATGTCAGCTATTGCTCATGTAAACCCTTTTCCAGGAGGTAAACAAAGGTAGGTGTAATGCTCAAAAACACCGTAGGTTTCAGTATTTTCTGAAGAGGCGCAGGATCATTAGGGGGTACTACATATGTGTGCATGGATGTAGGAATATATATACATGTATATGTATATATATACAGATGTATGTATGTTCACACACCGTCACCCCCCCTTGAACTACCTGTCCACACTTGCTCATTTACTACTTCCACCTGTTGAGATAGAATGAATTTTGTTTTCCTGCGCAAATAGCACTTTAAATACTACAGATTTAGCTAGAATCCCTGTTTCGAGATTGGTTTAGAATTTGAACCTCTCTTCCCTTGAAATGTCCATTTGGAACATCGTCTAACAAGCTTAATTTCGGACCTTATGCTACAAAAGGGCCAGAATGTGAATAACACAAACGTATTTCGAATTTCCTTGTACAAGTCACATAAATGTTTAGCCATATGTAATATGAGTTATGTTTGAGAAGTAGTCTCTATTTAGTTAATTGTTATTATCGCAAGCCAATTAATTTGTGTTCGTATTAGGTTGTATTTAACACTTAGACTATATTTGAGAATAAACTCTTATCTAACTTCTTTTGTTTAAGATTAGTTGGAGTTTACCCGAAACTATATTTACATTTTCATGTAGCTCCTATTTGTAAATGATTTGCTTATTTAAGCTGTAATTGAACATAAAAAAATGTTTGAAAACTATATCCTAACTAAATTATATTCAAAATTCCAATTCTAGCTGAAGTAAAATCCTATTTGGAAAGGGTATCATATTGGGACATTTCGGAGGACTCCAGGCTCCAAATTGTGGGGCTTTGGGGACCCACAATTGGACATTTCGAGAATTTAAATCTCGAGATTCTAGATGTACCATCCCCGAAAGGTAGTAAATAAAGCTAGGGTCCATGGGGGGGTTGCATATAAAAATATAATACATATATATATATATATACCTATGTGTAATAGACAAGCGCGTTTTGCAAAAACCTGGAACGAGTCACGGTCCATGGATGTCCGGCCTGCCAGTCCCACATCGCCCTCATTGAACTCCAAGGGCTCCTCGAGCTTCAAACTCTGCAAGAAAGCGACCCACTTCCGCTGGGAGATCGCCTCGCAGGCTTTAAAGGATGCACCCGGTGCGGCAGGGGGGCCCCGGATGGAGGCGTCTCGGAGTCCGTTTGCTTTTTGATTTCTTCTTGTCAAGGAGGGGGGGTTTGCCTTTTCTTGTCTGAGGGTATCACTTTCGGGGCAAGAAGGCGTGTTTTTTTTCCTTGAGGGCATCACTTCTGAGGGAAGAATGAGCTAGTTCTCATAAAATGGCTCGCTGCTCATAGGGTCATGACCCGCTGCTCATAGGGTCATACTGTGGGTGGACGAAATCCTGCACCAGTTTAACACCATAGGAAACCATTGCTTGTTGGTATTTGCAGGGGAAGCATCCCAGTTTGAAACCATAGGACACCATTGCTTGTTGGTATTTACAAAAAAACACCACCCCAGGGGTTTCTAGGTGGTGCGAAATGGATTTCGTCGTCCTTTGTGATACATCGAAACCACCTGCTTCACAACTTGGACCCTCTAACTCAGGCGGTATTCGTTTGGTTTTTCACTGAAACCGGGCATGAACCTGAGGCTCCCTGAAGTGGCTTCCTCTCTCGCCTTTGAACACGGTTCCCTGGGTTCCCTATTTCAGCTTCGTTTTCGAATGGGTATGCTGTGACAAAGGAAGCTAAGCTGCGACTCACTGCCTGAGTGGATTGACCATAGTTGTTTGCCACTCCTTCCACTTGCCTTTTCGCCGCAGGAAAAATACAATCTCGCTTTAAGACGAACAAGGGGGACAAACAAACAAATAAATATTCTTAAGCAAATGGAAGCAACTAAACTGGCGGTCATGTTGACTCCTTGATAGCCCCGCATATTTATGGGGGGACATGCTTCGCCCTATTCTTTGTTGCCTTTACACGCCAACCTATATACGCACATGGGACATCATGGGACATCATGGGACATAGGGGAATGTAGGGACCTTTCTTTCGAGGGCATGTATCAAGAGGGGGAACGGCGCGAGCTCATTCTCGTGAAAAATAAAGACTGCCGGTCCCCAATGCAAGCAGTTTCTGGCGTTCAATAGGTGATTGAAACCTCCAAAGCAAAAGGAAGAAAATAGGGACCCCGTCCTTCGACAACAAACGACAACAGACACTAGGTCCTCCGGTAGAGTGGTCAGAATAAGGGTACCTTTTTTTCGGTAGTGTATTTTAGTAGGGAGCCCTCCCCAAAAAAAGTTGGTAAAACGGCACCACTGGGGGACCTAGAGCAGTATCAAAAGTTTCGACTTGAACAAGTCCCCGTCTGATTTCGGTCCGTAGCTTGCAAGGGGGTTCTGATCAAAGGCTTCAATGGGCTAGCTATGTTGTAGTGGAGGGTGGCACCGCCTTGTGGTTTACAGGGCTTCACGTTTCAAGAACCTCTGAACCACTGGATGTGTTTTGTCCTTTGCAGCCCCGTAAAAATGAAAATAATCAGAAGAAAACACACAGACACACACAGCCCTCTCGGCGCTTGAAAGGAACCGCGCCACATGCCTCGAGGGTGGCAGTAGTGATGCTCGAACGGTTTAACCGCGCATAGCCCTGCATGTTGGCGAAGACATCCTTGGGCAAGACGATAGACTTTCAGTTGCGGCTCTGTGGTAGACATCATGCATTGGAGCTTTGTGTCCACCAACCATTTTTTGAGGAAGCACCCCTGCAAGACATGCGGATTGCCAAGTGCAGCCGCCAATGGAGGATCGAAAAGCAAAAAAACAGAAGCACATGAGGCTGGGTGCCTTTGGGTTGACCAAAGCTGAAACAGCGCTGCCAAGTCTTCCGAGCATCGTGGTAGGACTGCGCAAGCCTCAGTGCAGGCTTGCAGAAAGCATCTCCCTTACCTCCAGTCCCAAGTTTATGGGCAAATTATAACAATTCACCAACCGAACAGAAGAGACCCGTAAGAAAGGCATCTTGTCCTTGGGCGTTTCTGGCCAACTTGTGGCAATTCACAAGAAAGACCCGAAGAAAAAACACTTGTCGTTAGAAGACGTGCACCATCTTTGTGAAAAAAGACAAAGGCAAACACAAGGCCCGAAAAAATAAGACTTAGCAGGTCTCTTTCCAATGATTCTCCTCCGGATGTCTTCTGAATTTGCCCGGCCTACACCTGTCTGGGTCCCAACAAAACGTCTTTACGACGGGCAAACCTGCTCCAAAGGGTAAGCCCCTAACCTGAGGCCGCCATGTTTCGGTACCATCTTTGAAGTGCCCTTGCCATAGAAACTCCCAGTCTAAGCTTTTTGCTAAGGGGTTCCGAATATATCCCCCCATGAACCAATTCTAACCGCTACGGGCTACGAAGCAATATTACTGGGCAATAAGCTAATACCGACCGTCAGGACGGGAAGCCGTAAATTTCATTAGACGGTTTTCCTGACTGTTTTTTGTGGGAGTTTGGGCGATTTTTCTGTTGGCCGGGCAGCTGCGCCACCAACAAGTTCGACAAGAAGATGATCACCACAAAGACGAAAATGCACACCGGTACCGCCACGATCACCGAGTTGGCCACGATGAACCTGGACGCGTGACATGTGGGTGCCAAGAACAATTTGCCATTGGCTGTTGGGGCGCAAACATGGAAGCACCTACAGCCATGCCCACTTCGCAGAGCAAGAGACTCCTCACCGAAGCTCGCCCTGACTTAAACCCTTCCTCCCATTTAACGCTGCGGGAGCAAAATCAGGCGCCTCTTGCAGGAGCCCAGGCCCAAAAAACTGTCAGGTGCAAAGCAAGGGAAGGGTTTCTCACTGCTAGGTGAACAGTACTTAGTGCTTTGTTGCTCCCTTGCATCAATCCATACTAAACACCCCCCAAGCTTGAGCCCAAAAACTGGCAATCTGCCGCAATTTCCAGGGTGTCCCCTGTTTCCTCTCATTCTCCAAGTCCAACTTCTAGGGGAAAAAAAACATGCAGCTCCGGCTATACTTGCGAGGTGCTGGAAGGATTCGGCAGAATACATCTGCAAGGACATCGACACAAGGTCCTCAAGGCGCCCTGTTCCCAGGTTCGGAGATACATGTCTCTCTCTCTTCATGTGAGGGCTGGGGTTGGAGGGCGCGGGGGGGGGGGTGGTTGGCAAGGGGGAGGGGGGGGGGAGGTGGGGTGTCAAGCACACACGCACTACTTTTTCATCTGTCTGGCTCACGGGTGCGGGGGGGAGGGGTAATGTTTCATCCTGTTTTGCTTGTGCGTATTGCTGGAGAAGCGCCTCCAAGCCTGTTGTTCGTCCTTTTGTCAGCGTGGTACGCCTGCCCATCGCCTGCCCTTAGTAGATGATCAGCACATTGGCGTGTTTGCTGCTTTGCCTGCTGCGGATTGTGTTTTAGCCTTTGTCACCGAAGCATCTGTGGATCCCTTCCGCCCTCCCATCGACTTCTGCGCTTTTTGTGCCTTTCTGTGTGATCTGCAGTTCGTTAATCGAGAAACCGACTGCTTCAGAAGGGCATCCTCCAAACTGGCTCCGAAAGTCGGGGTCTCCTGTGGAAGGTATGCCACTTTTGTACCACGAGGCGTTGGGGTGGTGCTAAGTGCCAAGCACAATGTTTCGTCCTGGAGTAGCGCCATCGAGCCTTTTGTCCATCCTTATGTCTGCGTGGTACGTGTGCCCTGTTCACCTTGATCAGCACATCGAGTGTCAAGTCCCTTCACATATCATAGGCTGCCATTTGCCCATTTCGCGTCTTAGCCATGGCTGAGCTGGAGCGCTTTTCTTTCACCTCTCGACGGATGGACGAATCGGACTCCTCCATCCAGACTGCGGCGCCTTCTCGGGTCGGCAGCTCAGTGTACAGCGCACTGATGGAAGTACCTGAGCAAGAGCTCAGCAAGATTCAAACGCCGCCTCAGCTCGAACCCGGAAACCAATGGCTTGGGGTCGATGCTCCGTAATTCTGGGGGCGCCAACTCTGGGCGAAGGGTGGCCTCACAACGGTTTCTGGCAGCAGTGGCCGAATGTGATTGAGGGCACCGGCTTCTTGGTACATGGAACAAGGACACCACCCCAAAATGGGGGGTCACCAATTTTGAGACAAACCCAGTTCGGGTGTCACCCATTTATGAGGGTCATCCGTTTCGAGACAAACCCATTTTGTCAAAGTAGAGGTACACCCAAAATGGTGCCCAAAACGAGTCACCTTCAAAAAGCACCCACGCCATGGGCAGTCAATAAAAGTAAGGACCCTCATGAGAAGAATGTCGGGGGTCATGTCCACGAACCGCTTTCGAGCTGAATTCCCATCAAGGCTGATAGCCAGTTTGATACCAAGGAGACTCCAATACCCAGGAGTTCCCTGAATACCTCGGCTCATCCTATTAAGATTGATAGCCACATGAACCCCGTTTTGTTCACGAGGTTTCCCTGTAAACCACCCCAAAAGGCGACCAACTCCTAAGAAACACATCCTATGTACAAAAAAACACTCAGGTTTACGTGGTTAGGGGGTGGTGTGGGTTTGGTATTGCTTCTTCCATTTGGTTAAGACCCCTTGAAACAAAACAAACATATTTCCAGTCGTGAAATCGATTCGATACCTTTAAAACCAACCGGGGAAAATAAAGAACACACAAGCAAATGGAAGGCTCCGCGCATTCCTCGGGTTTTCTTCGGGCTGCGCCGAGCGGTTTTTTCCCCATCGGCGCGGCCAAAGGGGCTGAAGGCCAAGATCAGCGCGAAGAGCGCCGTGAAGAAAAGGCCCACCTCCGCCGCCACGCGGCCGCAGACCAGGACCTCAGATGCTCCGAAAGGGCCCGAATGGCTGGCTTCATCTGGGCTGCCCAAACTGATCCCCCGCGAAAAGTGAACAACTAGTGGGTTAAATGGAAACCACCACTAAACACAAAAAGGCTAAAAAGCTAAGGGATGGAAGTCATGTGGGAAAACCAGGGCTGTGGCTGGAAACCTGCAAAATGTAAGGGGTCCAGTGTTGCGAGCTGGTGTACGCAGAGAATGAGAATCGGAATGGCCCTTGTAAAACCTTCAACTGGCGGTTTCCTTTTTTCGGGGACCAAAGCCTGCGTTCATTCCCACATTCCCTCCCTATCGCAGCAGCAAGATTCTTTCCGCGAGCGCCGAAAGCCGAAGCCACGCCCGTAATCAAGATGTCTCAAGGCGTGAGATATCTTCGCCCGAGGGAGAGGCTGGGAGAACAAGGGGTTTGTTTCGGGGAGAAAACCAGCTACTGGCTGACACTAGTTGTTTAGGCTTTGGGAGGGAAGAGGTTGACTATGGGGTATTGCATGAAGGAACAAAGTCGCTTTCCACTAAGTGCCAGGGCCCCTGGCTGCGCAAGAGCCGTGTGCAACAAAGCCGATATGCGTATACAACATCCGATTCATGTGCGTCTGTATGTATGTAAGATAAGGTGAGGGAAGGTAGGGCACTCGCTAGTGTATGCATGCATGAATACATTGTATTGCATACATCTATGTATGACCGTAAGTCGGTATAGCCGTATGTGCACATGTGTGTTTGTATGTGTGCATGTACATGTTACATACGGAGGGAGCGAAGGGGCAACAAAGGGAGGGATAATGTGTGTATGTTCTAGACATGCAAGCATTGTGTTAATTTTGGTGTGTGTGTGTGTGGACGCATTCACGTTGAGCTTGTGTGGGCTTACAAAATCTTCAACACAGCGTGTCTCCCAAGTCAAAGGATCAGGCGTCCCTCCGAAAAGGGAGTCGCTATGTGCACTTGGCCCACCTGATCCAAGAGGTATAAAATCAAAGCCTGGTAAGTGAAGGGGTCCCCCTCGAATGGAACTGCCCAACCGACTCCGCAGGCTTTCTCGGCGCTTTACTCATTCTGGTCCAACGTGACCAGCTACCCAAAGCCATGTCAAGAAGGCCCGGACATCGGCGCTTGAACATTCAGAACGGCCGGCAGGGATATAGGTGAATCTACAGTGAAGTTGGCATTTGGACGGGTCGCCAAAGCAAATCTGAAATGACGGTGGGTCAAATATAGGTAATTACCCCAAATGGACTAAAACCTGCGGTCCCCTGGTGAATTAATTTTTTACCCATACCCAAATCTAAATGAAGGTGGCTGCTTGCAGGTTCTATGTTAACGCTCAGGAGGGTTTCATCTTCAAGCTGTTCGTGCTATGAGTCAGTTGCCTCCAGCCCACATAAGTAATAAGTGCATCCCGGGCGCATACGCAGAGATGCGCATGGAGAAGATTGCCAAATCTGAGAGCAGCCCCCAGTACAGCATCATCGCAAGGAAGGAACCTTGCAAGGAAGTCATGGAGCACAAATTATGAAACACTGAAAAAGGCAAACCGATTCGCCTGAGGCAAGTGAAAAAATACACCGAAATAACCGCCAAACCTACGCCTTTGTGCACAGTGCCCCGCAGCCCCCAAAGCATTGGCAAGGCGCACAAGCTGTATGCGTCCATCCTCTCTTGTCCTTGGTCGCCAAGTTGTCGGATGGTTTTATCTTTGCGAAAATGGATGGGTTCTTTTTGGTTTCCTTTTCGCAAAATGAAAAGAAGGCACCCTCACAATAGCACAAGCCCATATCACGCCTCACTGAGTCCGCCATGTTGCAGCATCATGAGGGGTCCGGTTTGGGCTGAGAATGGCTCAGAAAGAGGGTGCCTTTCTTTTGAAACTGTGCTTGTTGCACACTGTAAACAAAAAAAAGGCAAATGGAGGGCACCCCAGGGAAATCTAGCGCACCAAAAGGGAAATCGGACAACCAGTCTTTTTGAACAGCCTCCATCGGATGCACCAGAAAACTGCAGACTCCTCAAGGGTTCATGCTTTGGCCTGCAAGTGTAGTTGTGCTCGAAGAGTTTCAGTTTGTTGTTGAAACCAGCGCTTTGATGCCGCGCGTGCCAGAGACTATTACAGTAAAAATTGGAGCTACGGCGTAGGGGCCGATTTGGCCGGGGGGGGATGGGGGAGCAATTGTGTTCACCAAACTTGAGGAAATCCCAAGCACTCTGAGCACAAAATCCAAATACTTTCGCCCAGGCGAAATGCGAAATTTCTGGAACAAGCGTAGGGCCCCGCCGGGATGTTTGTGTTTTTTTCAGCGTGGCCCAGTTCTATGGGTCAGGCTGGATCATCCCCGATGGAAACGGGAACCTTTCTTTTTGACCCAAAGCTTTTGCGAACACCTTGGATTCACTTGGGCAGAGCTGCTTACCCCGCGAACTTGCTCAGACACACTTGCTCAAAGAACTTGTGCAGAGAAACTCGGTCAAAGAACTTGTGCAGAGAAACTGGCTCAGAAACTTGTGCAAAGAAACTCGCTCAAAGAACTCGTGCAGAGAAACTGGCTCAAAGAACTTGCTTTCCATCTAAACTTTGATTTCTATGGAATTGCTTAAAATCAGCCCATTTCAAGGGGTTGTGTACAGAAGGCTCTCCAAACGAAGCTGTGAAAACTCGGAGCGGAACTACACCTCTCTCCAAGTTTCAGGAAAAAAGGGACGGTCGAACGGATAAGCCCAAACTTGCTGGTGCTCAGCATGGAAGGGAATGCCCCCTATAAAACCATCCCTCTTGGTTTCCTTCAAGGGAGTTCCCAGGTTCATTCCATTTCTCATTCGCTATCGCAGCAGCAAGCAAAGCGTAAAGTGCTTTGAGCCAACTGGCTAGAAGTCTCACTTTGAAGCTTGGGCCCGAAGACCCTGGCACTCACTTCCGGTTTGGCCCCTTCGCCACTGTTTGGCTGAAAACTGGTCTTGAGTTCAGCGCTGGAAGTAAAAAAATGATGCCAGCGAGACACCTTGCTTGCAGGTCATGGCAATGCCTTGCCCCTTGCTTAAGCACCAGAGGTACGGCTCCTTCCAAAGCGATGGATCGCTCTTGGGCTCTAGGGCGTGGGCAATCGCTGACGCTTCTTAAAATGGTGACCCCTTTTTGGTGGATATTTGAATGGGGACAAGGAAACCTGCCAATTTCAGAAGTCCCCTGAAAAAGACACACCCAAATATACTTCACTGTTGTTGGCAAGGTGTTTATGTTTGTTTTTGGTTCTGTTCTCCGGGATGCAAAAAGTAAAGCTTGTTTTTGCTGCCATGCAAAGGGATGTAAAGATTATATGTATATATATATATATGTTGTTGGAGGGTACCGTTTTTCAGGTTGGTTGAAAGGGACGCCAGAAGGAACACCACAAGTTTTGGGGTGTCCTATTTTGACATATTCATATGTCCGTGTAAAGTGGCTGAACAATCTGGCCGGGTTCCGGCGGTGCAAAGCATGCGAATGAGCTCCAACTCAAGCTTTTGGCATTGCCGTTTGCTACTTGGATGCTCGGCCAGGTTGGTAGGTGGTTATCCATCTGTTTTATAATCAGGCAACGCGAAATGTCCAGCGCCGCAAATCTCACAGGTTGTCTAAATAAGGAAACTTCACAATGGCGTTGCTTTTCCTTTCGGCCTCCTTTCCAAAACGCCCAAGAATGTAATTCCTGCGAAAAAGGCAGAGAAACGTGCTGCCTGGCCACGCAGAAAGTAATTTCATGCCTCATCTACTCAAGCTTCACTGTTCGTGTCAAGTTCTTTTTGTTTTTTTGTGTTCTTGGTTCTCTTCATTTTTAGTAGGGGGCGGTAAACAACAGTCAGTTTTTGCGAACCCATACCAGGTTGTGAAGTAAAGGAAGCCAGAAAAACATCCTTCGACAGCTGCCCGGTATCCCAAAATATGCCGTTAAGGAGTCGGATTGAGCCTTCCGGAGCTAGCGATCGGAGGTCTGGTTAGGGACATGGGAGAAGATCGAACCAGACCACAAAGAAACAACCCACTTTGGGGGACCCTACGGACCCTACTTTGAGAAAGTCGTTTGTGCCATCACTGCTGCAAAAACAATCGCATATTTGTCGCGGTAACTATCAAGTGAAGACCACCTGACTAACAAGGAAGAGTATGTCTAAACAACCAGGCCAACAGGTGGCGAAAGGTGATCGCACCCAAAAAACCACCACATGTCCTAAGAACCGTTGGGCTACATCTGGTTCAACATTCAACCAGTAGATCCCTAAGGGGAACCAACCAAAACACGGGCCCCTTTGACCACGATTGATTGCCTGGCTGTGGAAAATGCTCCCTTTCAGAAATACCAATGTGGCTTCCCATGGCTACTTTGTCGCGCCTAGGGAATTGCCGCAGAAGCTCGCGAACAAGAACATACTTCGATATTTGCAACCATGGCTTTGCAACTGGCACGATTGTCCCACGTTAGCATTCTAGCCACAGGCCTCCAGTGGATTCTCTTTGAAAAACAGGCCATGTACCTTTTGTTGCAAAGGGCCCCTATCCAAAAAATCAGAGAAGGGCGGCACTGGGCAATTCAATACAAAAAAAAAAAAAAACGCCGTGGGAAAGAAATAATTGGCGCTGATCGATCTCCTGCATGCACATGAGTTCCAAGAGCAGCAGTAGCAGGAGACTCGCGAGCTCTTGCAAATCAAAAAGGTATGCTGGCACTGGAACTCCCCAAACGCCTCGGTCGATTCGCTCTTGCCAAAGGAGGGCACTGAAGTGGACTGAAGGTTTACTCTCCCGCAGACTTACATGGACGCTACTGTAAATAGAACCAAGTCTTCCCAGGGGTTCTGGGAGCTTCCATGTTAGCCTGGGGGAGTGTAAACGTGGTTTGTTGGCAAGACATTCTTGGCAAGACATGGTTTGTCTCAGTCTCTGTCTAAAAGCTCTGAGGCTGACTGAGGCTTCCATATTCGGCAAAAGTCCCAAGTAAGTTTGTTTTACAGGGAGAGTAAGAAGGAAATCGAGTGCAAGCGGAAATATGTGGGGACCCTTTGGTGGATATCAAACAAAGGCGGGGATTCATGTCCGCAGACCGTTTTCGAGGGGTTCAACCCTGAAATGGCTGCTTTTCTTTTGGCGTCTCTTTGAAACCCGCCAAAACGGGGATCCCCCCCATCAAACGAAACACATCCATTTGGGCGTCTTTTTGGGGATATACTCCTTTTGGAGCGGTTTTAAAGGGAAACCAGAACGAAAACCCCCCGTTCAACGGGGGACCCGGTCCCCTAAAAAGACGTGCCCATCTTCCTGATTTGGCGGCTTCGATTCGGGGGCTAACGCTGCACACCCAGTGGCCTTTCATTCAGGGGAGAAACCTCCGCCCCAAAATGTCCGTAGTTTCTTAGCTCACTTCCCATAGAGTGGATTGGCCAAACAGTTCAGGAACTTTTCATGTACCAAATGGTCCAAACCCAAAAAATGAGAGCACTGTGGACAATGGTCCAATTAGCATTGTGTAGACCAATGGACCAATGGTTCATTTTAGTTTGGACCAATGGTCCAATCGGCTAAATTCCAGCAACTCTGGGAGTGAGTTAGGGGCACAGGGGCTGTATTTCCCCTTCAACAGATGCCTGGCTGACCGGTGGTTTCTGTTGAAATAATCGCCAGTTTCAGAGGATTCGCAAAGAGAACTGGATGAAACGCTGTAGACGGGGGTCTTAGATGATTCGGGTGGGTAGGGTGTCCCTGATAATTGGCCCCAACTGAGCACTTCCGTGTTACCGATTCTAACAATCAACAGGGAAAAATAGCAGATGAAAGCTGATACTCGCAAACTGCTGGATTCACTGCATACACGGAGTTGGCTTCAGGCCGCTGGTTGCTGTCACGAAATGGGGCCCAAAAATGCCTGGGCACTTTTAATCTGCTGCGCCCGAATGTCGGCAAAGAGCTTGCCGCAGTGGCCTTGCAAGAGCGAACCTTTCTGGACGGGAGACTGGACACAAGGAACTCTCTTGTCGTGGCCCTGGGTCAACACCAATGGTACCATCTTGGGGTAGGTGCACCACCCATTTTAGGCTTTGTTTTAGTGGGGATTGGGATGTTCACTGGGGGGTAACCAGGATTTTGACCCATGGCCTGGTGTCTACCAAGGGACATCAGAGCAGGCGTCAAAGACACGCCGCTCACATGGAACCTGACAAGCGACCTCGATCGGAAAAGATTGAAGAAACCTCCCTCAGGCACGTGAGTCGCCTGGCTTTGTCTGAGTGCCCCGATGTCCCTCCCAAATGGACCAAAGAAAACCCAGTGACCCCTCATGCCCCCTCCCATCGGCAGAAGCATCACCAGAGCCAGTCTGCGGCCTTCAGAAACCCGGAGACCCTTCTTCCCCTAAGGGAGAACCCCTTTTCGGGGTTCCATACTTCAAGGGGCAGGGTACTTAGGTGGTTAGCAAACCTGATAACCCACAAAAGCCATGGTTGCAAGTCTCCGTGTGGGCTTTAGCCAGGCGTACTAACCACTTACCTGACGTACCC